GCTTAGCTACTATTTTCATGAAAAAGAACTTATATGCAAGTCATCATTAAATATAAAAACAAAGAAATCCAACTTGAAACTAAATAATTTTCTAATTAAATAAGTGAATCAGGAGGCTAATTAAATATGAAGCATGTATAGGTTGCATCGACATGCCAATTACCTAACACTAGTCTTGGTTTCTTCACTAACGGTACAGAAAAGTCAGTCAAGTTCAACAATGATACTTTATACGCTCTTAACAATTCATATAATATTGAATGGAAGAGGCAAGCCTTGTTACAGGAATCCTTTCTATACACTAAATTGCTATAAACTCAAGGGTAGGTTACCCTGTAATACACATAATGCTTTATCTCATGGGTTTTAAAGTATTCATGAGATCAGAAACAAAAACAGCCCTGATAAAGACCTTTAAACGCTCATATATATGCATTTATGTATAAACACACCCACACCCCTTCAGGTATGTACAAATATATATATAAACACACTGAGAACATCAAACTATTCACTAAACATAACCAATTCTGTTTAGAGAGAAAAGATATACAATATATACAATAACAAAGTATACACATCTCAGCATATGGCCTCATGCCCTGGTTCTCAAATATTTTCCATTACATAAGGTAGATGCCATGTCACATGTGTAAAACACTCCTATGGGTGTAGCACATGTTGATAAAACTTAAATTACTTCAGGGAAATAAATCACTCTGACACATTGAAATCATCACTGTGAAGGGCAGTTCAGTAGTAAAAGTTGCTCATGATTGCCACAGCTTGGGTAAAATACGTAACTTACCCAGCTCTCTGCTTTACTGCCACCTACCTGTTTTACATCAAATCCAGAAAAAAATATTAGAATAAAGTGCATGGGAATATCATTATGCCATTTATTTATTTATTTCGGTACAGGAGATTGAACCCAGGGACACTTTACCACTGAGCTATATCCCAGTCCTAATTATCTTTTGTGTGAGGACAGGGTCTTAACTAAGTTACCCAGGCTGGCCTCGAACTTTTGATCCTCCTCTCTCAGCCTCCCAAGTAGCTAGGATTACAGCTGTGGGTATCATTCTTGGCTATGCCATTTATTTATAGCAATAAATCAACTATAATTTATTTTTAAAATGAGCTATTCAATATTTTTATAGTAAGCCTGTAATAAATTGTTGGCCATATAATTTACCACAGATCATGATACACTGCTGTGTTCCTGACCAACAGCAAGTGTGGGAAAACCATAGTACACAAGCCAAACCCAGCCTGCTTCCTGTTTTTATTCAGCCTGCAAAGTTAAGAATGGGTTTCACAATTTTAAAGGGCTTTTAAACATCAAAAGAACATTTGTGACACGTGAAAATGATATGAAATTCAAATTTCTGTGTCAATTAAGTTTTGTTGGAACACGGCCATGCTCATTTATTTACATGCTGTCTATGGAAGAATGGAACAGCTGAGTGAGACACAGAGTGCAAGGTTGAAAATACTTACAGCCCAGCTACCCAGAAATTTATCAAACCCTGGCTAGAGCTAAGTGGTAACCTCAGTGGTAATATCTATTAAGACAAAATCCTAATATAGATATTAACCTTTAATACAGAAATAGCAGTAAATCCCATCTAGGATAGATGGAAATTCATCCCTAACTTGTCCAAACTTTCTAAATTCTTTAATGACAAAAGGCAACCCAACACAATTAAATATAGCTCCTACATTTTATCTGAAATCGTGTTTATAAATTCACCTTTGAGACTAGAGTAGAGCAATAAAAGGGCATCGGAGACAGGCCTGGTGACACCGTCTATAATCCCAACTTTTGGGGAAGCTGAGGCAGGAGGATCACAAGTTCAAGGTCAGCCTCTGCAATTTAGCAAGGCCTCATCTCAAAATAAAAAAACAAAAAGTGAGGGGGATATAACTCAGTGGTAGAGCACCCCTGTGTACAATCCCCAGTAGCACAAAAAATAAAAAGGTCATTCCAAGCGAGGATATAGATTTAGGTTTTAGGCAGGTGACTTTTTAAAATAAACTAAGATAAATACATTCGTCCCATTTTGCCTAATGTGTATGGTATTTTTTAATTTAATTTTTAATTTAATTTTTAAAAAAAATTCATTCTGGGACTGGGGTTGTAGCTCAGTGGTAGAGCAATTGCTTGGCACATGTGAGTCACTGAGTTTTATCCTCAGCACCACATGAAAAAATAAATAAATAAACTTTTTTTAAAAATGCATTCTACTGTCATATTTAACTAATTAGAACAATTTTTTTTAATTGTGAGAAAAAAAAGCACTAAAACGACTGGTAAAGTAATCAAAATGTTTTTAAGCAGGAAAGAAAGTTGATACAAAATAAAATGTACTTCTTTCCCCAATATAACTATAAATAGTCCTCCTATTCAATGTAAATTACTAAAATGGAAAAAAAAAGGCACCTAGTTCAGTTGAATATGGGTAGCAGGTTTCACTGAATAAAACTTTTAGTGAATCCACATGAAGGTGCAGGAAATCCTCACCCCCCAGTGCCTTTGCTGTTCCCTTGTAATATAAATGTATGGATTAAATGCTCTCTAAAGTCCTTACCAGCTGTGGTGATTTATGCCAAATGACTAGCCTCATTTTTTTTTCATCTGTAAAATTGGATTAATAATTGAATCTTCCTATGGTCGTGAGGATTAAATGGGTTAATCCACATAAAGTGCTTAGAACAGCACTAACCACATTCAGCTATTTACAATTATTCCATTCAGGCATTTGGGGAAAAAAAAAAGAATAGAAGGAATCAGTCTATAGAGTTTTAATTTTAGCATGTCTATCAACTGATGATTCTCTGAGATGATGGATAAATACTATTGGGCCTCCCTAGTCTGTGTGAATTTTTACTTCTGCACAATGATTATTGTGTTAAAATGTCAACTAGGCTGGATGTAGTGGTATGCCTCTAACCCCAGTAACTCAGGAGGCTGAGGCAGTAGAATCACAAGTTCAAGGTCAGCCCAGGCAAATTAGCAAGAATTTATTATCACAATAATTTTTTTAAAGGGCTGGGAATGTAGCTCAATGGTAGAGTATTTCATTTGTAGGATCCTCTAGGTTCAAAACCCAATTCTGTGGGGAGCCGAGGAGTCAACTAATGTTCACTGTAGGCAAATTATTAGCTCTGTTATTAAGGATCTTCCCATTTCTGTTTCAAAAGACAAAGTTCAGCTGGGCATGGTGGTGCACACCTGTAATTCCAGCAGCTTGGGAGGCTGAGGCAGGAGGATCACAAGTTCAAAGTCAGCCTCATCAAAAGCGAGGCACTAAGCAACTCAGTGAGACCCTGTCTCAAAATACAAAATAGGGCTGGGGATGTGGCTCAGTGGTCGAGTGTCCCTGAGTTCAATCCCCAGTACCAAAAAAAAAAAAAAAAAAAGTTCAGCATTTGATAAAAGAATAATTTGTGGTTTGATTGAAGACAGAAGAATAAAAAAATGTTGGTAAAGTATATGAAATACGTGTCTTTTGAACCAAAGATGATATGCTGTCACACCATAGTTTCACCTATTTATTTTTTTCCACGTATGTTTGCTGAGTAGTTACTGTGCAGCAGTGTCTGCTCAGTGATGAGTAATGAGAAACAGACTCTGCATTAGGGAATCAGCAGGGAGGGCAAAGTCAGTGATTAAAATGAAATATGGTGAGTGTTATGAGGAGGAAGCCCCTGGAGGCTATGGGAGCACTGGGTAGGGACCTAACCTACGTCCAGGGGACTGGAGGAAGAAGTAACTAAGGTGAGACCTGAAAGATGAGTGGCTGTTCTTCATACACAGGAGGCAAAGAGTGAGTGAACATGGGACGTGTGACAGAGTAGGCAGATCTGAAGAACCCAGAGTCCTTCAGTCTTGCTGGGACTTAGTGATGGAGAGCAGCAGGGGATGATAGCAGAGCTCACCAACTTTGTGTTTTACCTTTGGGCAAGGAGAAGTCACTGGAAGTGTTAAGCATAGACATGCAAAACCAAAAGCAAAGGAGTGAATTAGTGAAATAAGTAGTTTGGTTTGAAATGTAAGTGGAAGGAATCTCCACTCATTTTTTTCCCTGCCTGCTACTCACTGAAGTCTCTTTTTTGTTTTAATCTATTTATAGATCAATTATTATACACATAAGAGAGTGAAATACAAAAATATTTGCCTTCTTATTTACAATGTGGGTTCCCGCATACTCAATATCCTTACTCCTAAACAACCATTAGAGCTGAGAAGGTGACACACAGGCCAGGCTCAGCCACCACCACCGAGGAAGGGCTTATTGTGGTCTTGGTAGTCAGGTGTAGTCATGGGCTTAAATCTGGAGCTCCATCGTTCACCTGATGTCATTTTATTTCTCCCTGTCTGCAATGAGGGGTGTTTCTCCTCTATCTCTTGGAAGCCCTTGCTAACTGTGAGATGTCCCAAAGCATCAAGGTCTTCCTTCTTTTGGTTCAGGCCCAGAAGAATGTGAAAGCTTTCCCCACAGGCAGCCTTTCACCTCTGACATAAATCTCAAAGGTGGCTTTAGAGATCACAATCTCCAGTGCGATTTAAACACAAAGTCGCAGCCAGCAACTGGGGCAAGTCAGAGGACTCTAGAACACCATGAGGAAGTGCCTCTCAGTAGTGTGACTGTGCCCACAGACCCCTCTTGTCTAGTGGGCGGTTAGCACAGACATTAGGAACAAAGGTATACTTGGGCTTCTTTTTAAAAAAGAAACACGTTACATCAAGGCATTGTTATGAATGATGCTGACTGCCAGACCAATTCACAAGCCTGAACATTTTGAAGGAATACTTTGGGTGAATTCATTTTATGGGTCATTTTCCCATTTTCTAATTTTAAAAAAAATCTTTTTTTTTATTGGCTCCAAATCTCTAAAATCCCCCCCAAATATTCATATAGTATTAAAATGACTTAAATTTTTAGTAAGATAATTTGTCTATTATAACACATACCTAATCATGCTGACATACTTAATCATGTCTGTTAACAACGCATACTTTAATGCATGCTGACTTCGACAACAGAATTGGCAATAAGAATAGATGAATACCTTCATTTACAAAATATAATAGTAGAATAGTCCAAATTCTAACTAAGAATACGCATTTTTTTAACCATTAAAATGATTTGGCATCAGGAACATTCACAGTTCTGTTTGTAACCTTTTTCAAACAGCTATTAAAAATGTTTGCTTATAGCTACACTGTGAGAAGAAATCAAATAGGTATGAACAATTTTCATATTATTGTAACCTTCCCCATCCTTCCCATCAACTGTGTACACATCTAAAAGCACTTATGTTCTACAGAAAATTTCTCAAAAGACTGACCGTGAACTTGTGATACCCAGGGAGGTTCTCTTTAGTAATACTCAAGGTAACTCTCTTGGGCTGTAATACTCAGTAAAGATTGTCCAGAGACATGATTTCTGTGCCTAGCTCTTCCCTACCTTGCTAAGTGTTATTTAACCAAATAACCAAGGTACATGGCATGTGAGTCATAAATGAGCAGCTTTTCTGGATCTCAAATCTTGCTAAGATGGTCATTTTAATTTTTCATCAAGCCAACACAGAGATCTTGTGAGACTCAAATAAGAAAACATATTTGAAATTGTTTACAAAAGTTTTAAGTACTTCCCAAAAGTAGGATCATTATTAAACAACCCTCTTTGACTACAAAAGAAGTTTATTCTTTCTTCCAAAAAGCTGAAATCATGAGTTTTTTAAATAACAGAAGCTAAAATTATACTGGATATTTTTTTAAAAAATATGTTTATACCAAAGACTTTCCAATCCATTGACTCTGCTGGCCTTGCAGCTATGGCTAAGGGGTTCCCATCAATAAGTAGAAGGTCAGGGCAACAATGAGAAGCAAGCAGAACGGAGATGAGAAGGTCTGATAGGCAGCTGACGGCATAAAAATGTCTTCATACTTGTAAATACTGACAACGCGCTCTGAAGCCGGTGGAGAGTCTATGTCATGGCGGGTGATAGAGCCTTTAAGAAAGAAATAGAAGGGGAGGAGCAACTGAAAAAAAGTACAGATTTAAAACAGTATAGGAAAGCAACAGAAAAAGTAAAGACAAGCCTTCAGTGTGCAACATGCACACAGTGATTGTAACCATCTGGAATCAGGATCACCATCAGAATTCTCTATAATTTATTATGAGGAACACAGAAATCAGCTAAATTTATCCCAAAATGACTGGCTCCTATTAATCTTCTCCCCTCCTTTAACAGATCAATGGTATTGGTCTGTCTGTGGCTTCTCTGTTTTAGAGCTGCTATTTAGACACTGTAGTATAAAAACATGCTTAACCCCAAATGCAAAAGGTGAATGTGAGTTTCATCTTTAATGCCTTTCATCTTCTTAGCAACAGGATTCCAAACAGCAAAGGCTACTAATTTTTTCCTCTCAAATCTCTCTTATGTGTGAGTCATCCATAACTCCTGGTGACACAGCAGTCTCCCTTAAGGTGGTAGACCTGCAGGACCTATAGAGGCAGCGTGCCTCAGCTGAGCCAGAGTGGGTACATGTCCATGTGAGTCTGTGTATCTGTCTGGCAGAGTAGGAAAGAATGGTGCAGAAAGTAAGAAGACTAAGATACCAAACAAGTCTGGGGGTGGAAAACTTTATGACCTAATTACAAGAGGGCAGAAGGAAAGGCTGTGTTATAAAAGATTGTTAACGGCTGAGGGTGTAGCTCAATGGTTCAGCACTTCCCCCACATCCCCTGGACCCCATCCCTGGTACCACAATAAATGAACACATACATATACACATGCATACATAAAAGATGATTAATAAGCAGGGTGTGCATCCACAGCCCCAGCCACTGGGGAGGCCAAGGTAGGAGGACCGCTTGAGCCCAGGAGTTTGAAGCCAGCCTAGGTAACACCTGAGACCCTATCTCTTAAAAAAAAGAGATGTAACAAGCTGAAGTTGATTAGAAATGAATGACCTTCTGAAAAATCCAAATGAAACTTGGGTTAGAGAAACTAAGCCATATGAACTCAGTGCAGAAATCTCTTTTTAACTAAGGCTCAAGTGAGGGTTTTTAACATAATCACTACTAGGGAAGCCCAGCCAAACTTGACATGTGAAGTCTACTCCAGCCCTGGCTCCTGTCAGCACAAACACCTAGAGTCGGCACAGAGATTCTCCCTTCCACAGGGCCCCCTCAGCTCTCCTACTTAACCTCACCTCATTGGTCACCTGCATGGGCTCCTAAACTTAGCAGAGCACCTCTGGCCTCCCTTGGGATAAATCTAATCCACACCCTTTCCATCCTTAGCTCAGTTTATCCCTGCTCAGAGAATGGAAAGAATTTGGCCACTATAAGGGCATTACAAGGGCATTCAGGAAACAAGAGGAGCCCAAATGTGTACACAGAGCAGGAATGTGCCTGTTGTGCTAGAGAAGAACAGAAGACTTTTTTAAAAAAATATTTTCAGCTGTAGATGGACACAATACATTTGTTTTATTTACTTATTTTTATATAGTGCTGAGGATCGAACCCAGTGCCTCACACAAGCTAGGCAAGTGTTTTATCACTAAGCTACCAGCAAAGCCGGAGCCCAAGTCTTGGAAGAGCTTATCAGGAAAAGCCAGATGGACTCAGAGAGGACTTTGAACATCAGGCTAGGATGCCAGACACCTAGGAAGATGACCCTCTGCAAATGCAGTAGTGCCCCGATCTGTGTTTTGTATTCTGTGGCTTCAGTTGCCCATAATTACTCAGAGTCCAAAAATACAGGAAAAGATTTAAGATATTTTGAGAGAGAGTGAAAGATCACATTTATATAACTCTTATTACAGTATATCATTACAATTATTCTATTTTCTATTATTATTGTTGTTAATCTCTTATGGTGCCTAACTTATGAATTATGTATAGGGAAAAGCCTGTATATACGGAGTTTCTGGTATCCAGCAGGGATCTTGGAACACAGTCCCTGCAGATTAGTGAGGAATACTGTACAGCACTTTTCAATTTATAAAGCCATTTCAAATGCTTGTTTTCATTTAATCCTTTCAATAATCCTAGGAAGCAGGTATTATTATTATCCCCACTTTAGATATAAGGAAATGAAGTTCAGATTTTAGATAATAGGCTAAATATTATATAGCTATACCAAGGGCAAAATCAATACTCAAACTCAAATATTTTAGGCTTCAAATCCCACCACTTTAAATGAGTTCATTTCTCCAGACTGAGATATAATTTATTTCCCAGGGTACTGGAAGTACTTGAAGGCATCATTGCAGATCCACTGTTGGTAATATGGGGAAATCAGCAAATGAAGAAGGTGTCACATATGGTGAGAGGCTTCTAAGTGTTTTCCCACCTGGCAACAGGCAAAGAAATGTGGGTCATGCCATCTCCAAAATGATCAATGCACACAAACTGATGGAAACAAAACAAGATCAGATGAAGCAAGGAAGAGTCGCCAGGCGCATAGTGAAGAAAGGTGCTGTCACCGGGAGCCAGAGTGAGTTCTCTGCACCAGGACTGCAAACCAAAGCCACCCTCTCCCAGTCAGGCCACTAGCCTGGTCAACCAGGAAGAAAGCTCAAGACACCGTGTCACTGGACTTCAGTGGTCTCTAAAGGGTCTTGTGGTGTTCTTGGATCTCTCCTGGAGAAACACTGAAGAGCCTTCCCTACTAAAGTGAGGTCATCCATGGATCAGCATCTCCAGGAAGTTTGTTAGAAATGCAGAAGCTCAGGCCACACGCCAGACCTGCAGGAGACTGCATCTTAACACTACAACCAGGGAATTCCTATGCATACGAATATTTGAGGAGTAACAGGCTACATTATAGGGTAATTTGGTGGATTCGTGACCACCAGAAGAGTCACAAAGGGACCAGTAATGAAATACTTGCTGTCAAGCTCCAGACAACTCTCCCAAAGCCCTTTCCTTCAATACTTTTCTCTTCCAAGGATGAGTTAAGGGCAAGCACTAACTGGAGTCAGACAGCCAGGACTGGATTTCAGTTCTTCCACCAGTTAGGGGCATTGCCTTGAGTAAATTTCTAAATCTCTCAAAAATGAGAATAACAATATCTAAACCTCTGTAGGATGTGGTGAGGAAAAAATGGATTTGTTGTGAGGATTAATTAATAGCCCACACCCGCCACAGGGAAGACACAGGACCTATTTGTTAAGCACACAGCCCACCCTGCGCCAGCTAGCTTGTCCTTGCGGCTTGTCATTTGTCTGTGCGTGTCATAAGACTGTGATAACCTACTAAAGTAGGGGTTGCCTCTCCTGTTTCTTTTGTATTATTCAAAGTGCTTACATCTCTTGCTTACACAGTGTGACTTCAATTCATAATGAACACAAGCACAGTTGTGTCTGGTGCTTAATGTGGAGGCTGAAATATAAGCTTACCCTGAATGGCTGGGCCCCAGGCAAATAGGTAATACCAACTCAAATGCAGATCCACTATCGTCTCATCTCTGGGAACATTCACAGGACGTTTGAACCGGCAGGTGACACGATTGTTCTCGAAAACTCCTTCTTCATCTCTGGCAGGATTTCTCTGAATCTCTTTTGCCCACTGGCCCACGTTATAGAAGTGCTGTATGCGGACCCTGCCATTGTCGTCGTGGACACAGGCCATGACATCGTCACCACCCTGACACGGAAAATGAGTAAGATGATAAAGTTGACGGTTTGTCTTTTGGGTACATTTCACTCAGAAATATACAGTCCATCCCTTCTGTAACTTTAAATTCCATCAAAAAAATTATTTGAGGCTGGGGGGCGTTGTTTGTGATAGACAAATGCTTAGCTAATGTCCAGGGTGGGGGGGGTCAATTACCAGCAGAAAAAAAAAAATCATTTCAAATGCCATTAAAAAATTTGAACCAAGTGACTGAAGTCAGCATCACCATAACTGACATCAAGTGCCTCCTGATGCACATAGGTACATTATCACCTATGTACAAGAAATTTTCTTGCCTAAAACATATCATCTAATCTAATAATGAGAAAACAATCAGACACACCCAAATCGAAGATCACTCTGTAAAAAGAAAAAAGAAAAACTAGTCTATAATCTTCAGAAGGGTTGTTATGAAAGACTCCACAAACAAATTAATTATTAGTTAATTAATAAGTTGCTGAGGCTGGCTTTGGACTTGTGATCCTCCTGCCTCAGCCTTCCAAGCCACTGGGATTACAGACCTGTGTCACCGTCCCTGGCCTGAGCCTCCTAATCTTAATAGCCCCGCCATTCCAGGGACCTCTTCCTGTCCCTCCTCATGGGAGCCAGCTTCTGGGCAGGACCACACCTGCCGTTTCTCCAGACACCACAGTGGGAGAGAGGTACCCCCTGCATTTGTACCCATGGAGTCTTACCAGATGCATCCACTGTCCTACTGCCTGGACTGGAACCGGTGGAGGCTCATTCTGCTGGTGACTGCGAGAAGAACAAAACTACCAGGGTGGCCACCCGCTGACACTGCCCCCTCTGTCTCTTTGTATCCTGTAGCACCAGCCTTAGCAAATCCCATCCCTACTGGTTTCAACATCCAAAACCGGAGCCCTCCTCACCATCACCACGGCTGGAACCCTGGTATGAGACACCCTCACAGTAGGCAAGGTGAAGAAAAGCAGGCAGGTCCTCTAGCCAATGGCAGCCATGGTGCAAAGGCCCAGGAGCCTGAGAAAGTCCGATGGTGTTGCACTTTAGATATGTGGTGTCCCCCAAAAGCTCATGTGTGACACAGGGCAAGAAGGTTCAGAGGTGAAATGATTGGGTTATGAGAACCTTAACCTGATCAGTGAATTAATGCCCTACTGGGGATTCATTGGGTGGTAACTGGAGGTGGGTAGGATGGGGCTGGATGAGATGGGTCATTGGGGACATGCCTTAGTGGTATATATTTTGTATCTGGGGAGTGGAGTCTCTCTACTTCCTGATCATCATGTAAGCCACTTCCCTACACCATGCTCCTTCACCGTGAATTTCGGCCTCACCTTGAGCCCCAAGGAATGGAGCCAGCTGTCTATGGATGGAGACCTCTGAAACCATGAGCTTTCCAAATAAACTTTTCCTCCTCTAAAATTATTCTTGTCAGGTCTTTTGGTCCCAGGAGTGAAAAAGCTGACTAAAGCAGATGGTTTGGGAAGGAGCCTGGCACGGTGGCGGGGCTCAAGAAGAAAGAGGAAGGAAATCAGCTGAGCCATGGAGGCGAAAGAGACCACGGCCTGGCCTTCCAATGCCTGCCTGTACCTGTCAGTCCTTCCTAAGGTCCGGGTGTTTTCTGGCCAGTGGATATTTTGAAAGACTGAATTGTTGGACCCAATTCTCCACTGCCCTGTGGCAGATTCATGTGGACGTCTTTTTGCAAAGTCTCTCGGTAGGGACAGTGCACTTTCATTCCAAGGTTGGCTGTGTGACTTGCTTTGTGCAATGAAAAGTGTAGCCGCTGTGACATAAGCAGAGATCTGTGGCTGGGACACTGTCATAGAATAGGCACATTTGGTCTCTGCGCCTAGTTCCCAGCACACAACTTATTAAAAAAAAAAAAAATACTTGAAATCTCTGGAGTGCTAAGAGTGTTTTTTTGTATGCTAATGAGATGACTAATAGCTGGGACCCCTACACAGCTTCAGGAGTAGGGCTGGTCATCAGAAAAATCAAGGCATGATGACTAGAGGATTGGGACTTTCAGTCCCCCCCCCCAGCTTCTGGTTAGAACTGATCACTACAGGCCAATGATATCATCATTGATATTTATATAATGAAGCCTTCATAAAAACCCAAAAGAAGGGGCTAGGAATGTAGCACAGGGGTAGAGCACTTGCCTAGATGGAATAAGTGCTGGATTTGATTCCCATCACTGTAGAAAATAAAACAAAACAAACAAGCCCCCAAATAACAGGGTCTAGATGAACTTCTAGATGCTGAGTACACGGAGGGAGATGCATGCCCAGGAGGCAAGGAGCTGTTCACCCCTTCCCCATACCTTGCCCTAGATGTCTCTATACATGGCCGTTCATCTGTATCCTTTGCAATATCCTTTATAATAAATGGAGGTTATAGGTTTTGATCTAAAATGTCACCCAAAGGCCTTTATGTGAGAGGCCTGGTTCCCACCCTGTGGTGTTATTAGAAGATGGCAAAAACTTTAAGAGGTGGGGGTCTAGGGGCAGGAAGTTAGTTCACTGAGCACATGCCCTTGAATGAGACATTGGGACCCTGGCCTCTTTTGGTCTCCCCCTTGCTTCCCTGCTGCCATGAAGCAAACAGGATTCCTCTAGCTCATGCTCCTCACCATGATGTACTGCCTGGCTGCAGGTTCAAAAGCAAGCGTGAAATGATAACCTCTGAAACCATGAACCAAAATAACCCTTTTCCCTTTACACACTGATGACCTCAGGTAGTTTGTCACATGAATGGAAAGCTAACACAATAGGTAAATGTAAATAAAGTACTCAGGGTTCTATGAGGTTACTCTAGCAAATTAATGAAACTTAAGGAGAAGGTTGTGGAAACTATGATTTACAGTTCCCACAGTTGTATAGTTCCCAGGTATCAGAAGCACAGGTTATAACCCAGGATTTGAAACTGGCATCCAAAGTGGGGGCTGTCTTTTGGGACTGAGCCTTCAATCTGTGGGATCTGATGCTACCTCCAAGCAGATGTGTCAGAAATTGAATTGTTAGAGGTCATCTATCTGGTATCCACTGGAGGATTGCTTGGTGTGGGGGAACAAAGCCCCCCGTACATCTGGTAACACTGTTGAGTGGATGAGGAGAGAGAAAAAGCAGTTAGAATTTTCCTCTTGCGATGGCTCGTCACTTCTGCTTCTGCCATGAAAAATCATGCCCCTATGGCGGTTCCTTCTAGGTTGACTAGAGAAAACCTGAATCCATCCCACCAACTGCAGCCAAGTGTAGCTGAACCCTACTTAAAATGGGCTGAACCCCAGACACACCACACATCTATGAGCAAGAAATAAATGCTCACTAGTGTAAGATATTCAGTTCCAGAGGCTCTTCCTGTAGCATCACTGTGGCTATAGCTGAGATGACTGGAGCCACAAGACACTTTCATATGCTAACAATCAACCTTTGCCCTTAAGTGAGCTTGAAAGTTTTTTTTTAACTTGCAACTAATATAATCGTTCTACTGCTTGGATCAATTTATATGCTTCCTAAATCTAAAGAAACTCAGCAAACTAAAGAGAAAAAAAAAAGCAGATTCTATCATAATTTGCATCTTACCATTTTCTTGTCTGAAGAGAATCCAACTGCTACCCAGCCATCTGTGTCTGCGCTCAGCTCAAATTCCACATCAGCCCCAATCATCCGGTAGCTAAGGAAGTAGTCACAGGTCTCTGCGTTACAGCCTGGTTTCCCATATCTAGAGGATGTGTCAAAAGAGACATTATTGGGCTGGGGTTGTAGCTCAGCAGTATAGCACTTGTCTAGCACGTGTGAGGCCCTGGGTTCGATCCTCAGCACCATATAAAAATAAATAAAATAAAGGTATTGTGCCCATCTACAACTAAAAAAACATAATGAAAATTTAAAAAGAGATATTATTGCTTCTGCTTATTCACATACAGTAAAAGATAGAATGTTAAGCAATATTACTAAAAAAAAAGGTCTTTGTTTACTGGGGTTTCAAAAACAGTTTTACTCAGGAAGATCCGTGGAGATGATCTGCTCCACTTTACAGACATATAAAATGAGGTCCAGAGACGGAAAGGGGCTTAGCTCAGGCTGCTCAAGGGCAGCAACTGGATGGGAATGTAGGTCTCCAAATTTCTAGCCAGTGTTCTCTGCATTATATTGTAATTTCTCAAACTTTAGGAATTACTGAATTATTTCTGAATTCCTTTAGAGGAAAAAGATTCTTTAAGTTAATAATTTAAACCATTTTTTGTTAATTAAAATGTACACCACTTCTTTTTACTTACAAATTTTTGTAGTTAAAAACAACCCAAATTTAGAAATTAAATATAGATTAAACAAACAGAAAAATCCAGGAACACTAAAATTCCCAGCATTCATATAATGGATGATGTGATTTTACTAAGAGTATACTACTGATGTGTATGTGGTGTGTCTAACTGTACCCTGCAGGGATTTTTGAATGCAGCATGTTATTATGGCAGCCCATTACATGGTGGCTCAACTCCCCAATTTATCTGTTTGACTTGCTGCAAAACCCTCACTTCTACAGTGCACCAAATGAACAAATAACTCATCTGGCATCCATTGAGCCTAAATGCATCATTGATTTATAAAATCTGCCTTTCTTCTGTTGGGCTACTTGGTGGTAATATAATTCCAAAGCCAGACACTAAAACATACAGCTATAAGGTGGTTATCTCAATAGTCAGATTATGCACACCTTCTTTTTAAAGAGCATCATTGAGTTGAAAACACAAATTTAAATAGTCTTACAAAGGATATGTGGATCCTTTAAGAACCAGCAAGCCTCAGTTTGAAGCACACTATTATACCACATTCAGAATGATAGAAAATTATAGCAACAGAGCTGGTTCAGTAATAGATCATGTGTTTAGCTTGCACAAGGCCCTAGGTTTGATCCCCAGCACTGAAAGAAAGAAAGAAAGGAAGAAGGGGAGAGAGAGGGAGGGAGAGGGGATGGCTTGTAGCAAACTAAGCTCAGATGGCAGGTGTGAAGGAACAGGACACAAGGGTGCTGAATTTTGATTGAGGAAGGAAGCAAGAACAACCTAGTACACTGGTAGAAATATCCTGAGCAGTGGAGGAGAAATGTAAGATCAAGGCAACCTGGAACTGGGTTGAAAAATATGAAAAGGGCCAAGTAAAGTTAAAGGAACAAAAAATAAAAACAAGGGCTGGGGCTGTGGCTTAGCGGCAGAGCGCTCACCTAACATGTATGAGGCTCTGGATCCGATCCTCAGCACCACATGAAATAAATAAAATAAAGGTATTGTGTCCAACTACAATTAAAAAATAAATATTAAAAAAATGAAAACAAGTCACTCTTAAACCATCAGGGTGCTAAAGTTCCATTCCTTCTCAAAAGCACCCCCTAATCACCAGAAATTGTACATTACTAACCATCTTCCTCAATACTAGCAGTTTAGATTTTTAAAAGGTAGATTTGAAATGAGTTTGTAATCCAAAGAAAGCTCAAAGCTCCGTATTCATTGTTTTCCCCTTAGACCTTGAACTCTAAGACCTTGAACCACCAAATCAGAACCTCAGTGCAGTGTCCATTAAAACCCTACTAAAGGTTTTAATAGTTTGTTTCAGGAAGCAAAGGGTTCAAAGAGAAAGCTTTTCCAACAAGGCAGCACTGACTAGATGAGAGGTCTGCTGTGCACACCACAGTTTTTTAGCCTAACACAATGTGTCTTGGTGGAACACCCCTAAATAATCATGTGGGCACTCACCGATGCTTGAGTGACAAGCTTACTACAATAATCAATGCTCAGTGACTAGTTTAGCCCTATGTAGAAACCCACAAGTCACGACTATTTATTTGAAAAGGAATTGGGTATTAGACACTTCTATCATTGCTTGATCTGCCCACAGCTCCTACTGAATAAGCACAGACATATTTTGTGTCATGTGAATCTCCCCATTACAGCCTATTGATGAGAAATAGACACTGGGGTCACAGCAGAAATGGAGAACCAGAAATGGAGGTCCAGTGACTAGTGCATGCTACAGCTAAAAAGCTTTTAAACACCGAGTGGCCACTAGAAACACCGTAACTCTAGAAAACACCATAACGGCGGAGGGCAGTGGTGAAAGCCTATAATCCCGGTGGCCTGGGAGGCTGAGGCAGGAGAATCATGAGTTCAAAGCCAGCCTCAGCCACAAAGAGGTGCTAACCAGCTCAGTGAAACCCTAACTCTAAATAAAATATTTAAAGTAGTGCTGGGGGTGCTGGGATTGTGGCTCAGTGGTAGAGCGCTTGCCTAGCATGTGTGAGGCACTGGGTTCGATTTTCATCACCACCTAAAAAATAAGTATATTATGTCCATGTATAACTAAACACATTTTTTTAAAAAATAGTGTTGGGGGTATGATTGCTCCATGGTTGAGTGCCTCTGAGTTCAATCCCCACCCCCGAAAAAAGGAAACACCATAACATTGTAGAAATTATGAAAGGATATGGGCTCCTGATTGGAATAAATTGCATGCAATTTAAATACTACCTTGAGAAGTAAATATAGTTCTTAGATTTAAGGCCATATTTTTCTACCAACCTAAAGCATCCCTTAGTTTTCCCACAGTCTTCCACTTTGATTTTGGCAAATGGATCCACAGGAGGAGCGGTCGGAAAAGCGTAACCTGGAAAGTGAGAAAAAACAGAGATTAGAAAATCCAATATCAACTTTTTCAATGAGAATTAAAGAAATAAATAAAATAAAACTTTTTCTCGCCCACGTCTGATGTGGGCGGTAGAATTTGGGTTTCCTCTGCGTGGAGTGAACTGGCTACAATAGAAAGCTAAGAAAAGAAGGCAGCCAAAAAAAAAAAAAAACCCAGACTACACAGAAAGTAATTTTGGAAAGCGGGGGTGGGACAGCTCTTTGACCTTAGAGGTCAAGCTTCCACACTGGGAAGAGAGAGCCCACGAGAGCCGCGTCTGCTTTATTCTATATGGGGGAAACTTCAAAGGTTTTCCATAGAATGTTTTTCTGCCAAATAAGACAGGAGGTGAGCTGTCCAGGTCTAATGGGTTTACACCCAATTCCAGAGCTACAAGAGCTGCCCCACTAGTAGAGACAGGGCTAAGAACTCACACCTTGGGCAGTCTACACACGGGAATGCTGGGATCCTTCCCAAGGGGAGACCAAAGTCCCCCATGGCTTAGCACCCAGTAAAAGACCACTCAGGAAGCTTCATAGGTGGCTCCCCACAAGTTTTGACTATTTTCCATTGCGTATGCCTAGCAATGGCTGGGGACTCACAAAGGGCTTTGACTAAGCCTAATCTTGCTCCCTGGGTGTCAGCACAGGGTATGCGCCTCTGGATTCAACCTTACATAGCATCTGGGAATGGGTCTTCTCTTTTCTCATTTAAGGAACTGGAGACACTGAGCAGGGGCACAATTCCATAGAACCATTGGCTTACCACTGTCCCTTGGGAGTTTGAAACCACAGTTCTAATACAGTACACATTCTCTAAAAGAAACAAAAATATCAATACTACCCTTCTATTTTCGATAGTAGGACTTTTCCACTTAAATACATGAAAATAGGATTTTTCCATTCCATTTCTCTGAATTGCTATTTTGCCTTAAGCTGTATATAACACTTCCAGAGATCCTCTAAATCCCTTAAAGACGGTTCCTAGCAATTGTGTATCTTTGTTACAAAATTACTTACTATTATAATACATCAATTACATATGAAAGAATGAGGCCAAGGCAAGGCCTGCCTCCAGTTTATAACCAGCCTCCTAGGCTGAGTACTTCACACGGGAGCTCTGTGTGATTCACCCTGTGTTTTCTGTCCAGCCTAGTGTTTGACCCTGGACACTGAATAAAGATTGTCAAATGATGTAATAAAATCACCCACTAACATTAGGTAATGTAAATAAACATAAAAATTATTAGTTTTTCCTCTATTGTACTGCTTTTTAAAATGAAGTTTAGTTTTATTTTATTCCATTTTTATTACTTTATTGATTGGGAGTATAGCCCACATCTAAGCAATTTTTGCGACCTCTAAGCAATTAGGTCACAGGCATTACTTGTTGCTAGTTGAATGTCTATTTTGTGCTAAAACCTATATCCATATGAACACAACAGAGGAGCTCTGCCTTGACTGAGTTTTTTTTTTGTTTTACCCTAATATTTATGGAGCAGTTGTTCCATGCACCTTCATCTGTGTTCTTCCTCTTACTTCTCACCACAGTCTTGAGGTCATTTTTTTTTTCCTCAGAATATTTACCTAGGAATGCAGGTGACTCACAAAAACAACCTTTTAAACTTTGCTTCTGACTCAGATTCCCTATCTTCTTTCATTTTTTTCAACATAGCACCCTTACTACTTCCCACTGAATAATACATTGGTATATGGAAGATTCCTAGCTCAGTAAATGCTAGTTTTTGGATTATTATTACCATTATATTTTGTAAACTGAACTGAGAACTAATAACCATTGGGTAATGCTGTCTTTTTTAAAAATTGGGCTTCTGAACTCCAAATAAAAGCAAGGTTATTTTGTGTGTGTTTGTTTGTTTGTTTTGTTTTTGACATCAGGGATTAAACACAGGGGCGCTTAACTACTGAGCCACATCCCCAGCCCTTTCTAAATTTTATTTTGAGACAGGGTCTCCCTGAGTTGCTGAGGCTGGCTTTGAACTTGCAATCCTCCTGCCTCAGCCTCCAAAGCCCCTGGGATTAAAGGTGTGCACTACTGTGCCTGGCAAAAGCAAGTTTTGCAACAAAACTCACACATATGATCTAAACTGATTTACTAGTATTGGCAAATAGTTTCTCTAGCAGTAAGTTTCTATCACCTTGTATGCCTCTAAAACTTGGAATGAGAACTGGTATTCTGTCAAATGCACTTGTACATCCATTCAATATCACTTTTTTCCCAGTACTGGGGATTGAACTCAGGATCTTATGTATGCTAAGCACACACTCTACCACCGAGCTACACTCCTAACCCCTAGGAACTTATTTTTATCTTGTTTTGTAGGTTGCTGAAAGATAATTTGGCTTTTGTCTCTGGTTCATGGGAGACAAACTCTTAATCCTTAGACTTTTCCGACTTTGGTATTCATGAACCCGTTGGATCACACCTGAATTTGTGCTAAGAGATGATATGACTCGGGATGGAAGTTGACCACCAGAAAGACTAATATCCGATAAAAAAAAAAATTGGAATTTGGACTCCTCCCCACCTCTGAGGAGGTTAGGGGGACTGGAAAGTGAGTTTTATCTCATTCCCACAAAGTGAAACCCCAATAAAATTTCTGGACACTGAAGCTCAGTGGAGCTCCCTGACTGAACACATCGATTGTTGGCAGGGGGTGTTAGCTTTCTATGGTCAAGGCCAAATTATCTCAACAAAAATAATTTAGAGAAGAAAAGGTTTCACACTTTCATAGTTACAGTCTGTAGTCAGCCAAACTCCATTGCTCTGGGCCCAAGGTGAAGCAGAACACCTTGGTGGAAGGGCAAGGGAAAGCAGCTCGGGGCATGTCAACCAGGAAGCAGAGGGAGCTTGCATGCAAAAATCCAGGGACAATATCATCCTCAAGGCACGCTCCCAGGGAACTACTTCCTCCAGACATGCCCTACCTGCCTACAATTACCCACCATGAATCCGTTCAAATATTAATCCATCAAATAGATCCATTCACTGATTAGGTCACAAGTCTCATCAGCTGATCATCCCCTCTCTGAATATTCCCACATTGCTCCACACATGAGTTTGGGGGGGACACTTCATATCCAAACCGTAACTGAGGGTAAACATGCTGATTCCACCAAAAACATGGAAACTGGATTTGGGAGCCAGCCAAACTTCACCCTCGGTGTCTCTCCGTTGGTGGTTCCTGAGTGGTATCCTGGATGACAACACTGTAAGTATGGTGCTTTCCTCAATTCTACGAGACAGAGTTATAGAGCCTGAGTCATGGCAGTGTGGAAAGCCCCTGCATTTATGGCTGGTCAGTTTGGCGTGTGGACAGTCTTGTAGCCCATGACCTTTTTAACCTGTGGGGTCTGTACTCTCTATGTAATACCAGAAAGAAGTTTGCTGATGAATTTTGGTATTAGAAAAGTGGAGCAGTATTCCAAATTTTTTTTCCTGAACTTAAATGATCGCTCGCTATTTGGACTAAATTTGGACTAAGTGCCTGGGTCTAAACTCTTGCCTGTGGGCTATAAACCACCTTCCACAAGCTGAGCACCATACAAACCTCCCTTGCCAGCTGATAAGGCACGCTGACAGGTCGACTGTGAGAGAGGAAGGAAAGAGGACTCTTCCTTCCAGTTAGGCTGCTGTTCCAGAAAGCAAGTCCTCAGTAACCTTGCTCCATCCTTACAGTGGCAGGTGGTTTGAGTTCCCAGCTTTGTGCTAGATTTCCAAAAAAAGCCTCAGAACCCTGCTCAAAACTGTCAGCAGCTGGGCAGAGCCCCATTCTTGAAAGTTGGTAGCATCTCTGGGAGGTCCCTTGTCTGAGCATCCAGATTCTGAGAACCCCAAGCCTTTCTCTTGGTACCCCAGACCCAGGGGTGGTGGCTGCTTCTTCTGGTTACTTTCTCTGCTCTCCTGCTGCTCCCTTGATGCTTCTTCAGTCCTTCCAGCTCCTACTTAGCTCCTAGCACTAGTGACTCTGTTAAAATAGCTAGTGTGATTTCTGTCTTTCCGACCGGACTTTAATACCAAAAAATGGATTCATTCTTGAATTCTGATACAATGCATCTGCCCAGACTGTAGCTTATTAGCAGCTATTATTTCAAAGGCTTCTGAATAATGATACTCAATAGAATCTACGTTTTACATGCACTATACAATTCTAGTAGTAAATTATTTTGATTGTGGGTTTTTAAGTGCCCAGGAGCACAGAATTAAATTGCCATTTCTTGGCTTGTGAAACACTCATGATCACTTTATGCAAAGGCCATCTTATATTTTTCCTTGATCCATTCCTAACCTCATTTTCCTCCCTTAGACTAAGTATGGTATAATTCCAGCATATCCTTCTGACCAGGAGGAAGATCTTAACAAAAAATGAACACTCTGACCCACATATCTGAAAAAGATATTTTATCACAGTAAAAATCTCTTACCAGGAAAACCTGAAAGGACACATCAGTAATAATGGATTCCAGACAATTCAGAGCTGGAGGGTATGCTCTTTGTCTCCACGAAGTCCAGAACTCTGCCTGTGCAAGGTTGGAATCTTCCAGGTTGCAAAACACCTTTCATATCCCCAGCACCACCACCTTTGAACTCTTGCATGATCACCCTATAAGATATTACCCAAGCTGCCAGCCCAGAAGAAGCTTCTAAAGTGCAGATTCTGGGCATAGACAATTTCTCACTCTGCCTACAGCACCACTGGGCCACTCTGTCCACAGGTGTGCTGCATTGGCCATCTCCCATGGCCACACACAAGTCTGGAAATACCCCAGCAGGGCAGACTAGTGAGGGCCCACCCCAATTACCATTCACTGTCCATGTATTTCTCGTTATGTATATGTGCTTTTAAAAATGTAATATTTCTATTTCTATTTGTGATCTGCATAAATGACACAGAACAGTACGGCTCATCATTCTGTTTAATATTTCCCCTTGAAAATCTACCTACATGTTTTAAACAT